GTATACGCGATTTCACATGTACTAAGCCACCAAGCCTCCCACTATTACTATTTTAGTATAAGTTATGCAATGTTCAATAGAAATTAATCAATTTGCCAAAATTGGGCATTGTTGCCAGAATGGATAGAGAATTACTAATAAACTATGTACGTACATGCGGCAAAGTACCGACTAAACTATGAAAAATAAAGAAACTAAAATTTTAATTCGTTACAGTCTAAATTTCATAAGATAAAATAACCCTTCTAAACTTATAATCAAATACGTGTTCAAACCTTGTAGTCGTTTCCATTGTCAGTACGCTGAACAATCACCATCTTTGCTGGTGGATTACATGGCAGACGTGTCTGATCAACCGGGACTTGAACAGCACCAGACATAGTTTCGAGAATGTAATTCAATTTATCATCATCATACCTCTGCCCATACTCTATTACCCTCTGTTTGTGTACCGTCACCCACTCATTTTCATGTCCAGCAAATTCACCTTTGTCAAGTGCGTTGTAGAAAAATAGTAGGTTATATCCAACCTCATCATCGAATTCGAACTCAACATTAGCGATTTTATTGAAGGCACTCCCTCTAAGATATTCCGGCATCGAGGAGGGCCACCTGAAGTTCTTTCCCATGCGAGCTACAAATAGGTTAAGAAAACAAACGTTAAGATATTACTACTATATTATTCAAAACTATGAGCCATTACCAAGAAACTTTTGCGCTTGTTCTCATACGCGAGGAGGGCTTGAAGCGTTTCAGGTTGATTGACAGATGTTTGAAAGGTGCTCATTATTATAAATGAAATAAAAAGTCTAAAAACGTTAATAGATATTAGTATAAACAGTTTTTGTTTATTCGTTAAATTTTATACCCAGCAAATGGAATCCAAATAGGCGAAAATCCAATTATACAAAGAAGAGAGATAAACGAAATGGCGAATACTAGAGGAAATATTAGTACAGTAAAGAAAATCATTTTATCATAATACAAATTACCCAATCTTTATATACTGATATATGACGTTATATTCCCGTGATTCCAAAACTTTATAGAATTATACATCGGAAAGTCTACGGACACGTACAGGTCACGTGATTTTGCACGTACCGAATATCACGTGATATTAAACGTACGTAAGTTGCCGAAATAAACTTTTTCTTAATTTTTGGACGAATTTTCTTGACAAGTTTCTGATGGAATTCGATGGAAATTTTTTTAAATTAATTCTATGAATAAATAGAATTCATTTCAAAAAATTTTCATCGAATTCTATCGAGTAGAAATCGAGAAATTTTTGTTTAAAGTGCGGCAAAATTTTCACATTATTAAATAGTCGCGGCAGAAATTTTCTAAACTTTGAACTGAAATTTCTCGACAACTATCTGACAGAATTCGATGAAATTTTTTTTAAATAAATTCTATAAATAAATAGAATTCACTTAAAAAAAAAAATTCATTGAATTTCGTCAGGTAGTTATTGAGAAAATTTCTGCCGCCTTTAAAGAAAATAGCCGCGAAAGAAAATTTTCTAAATTTTAAACAAAAGTTTCTCAAAAACTATCCGATAGAACTCGATAGAGATTTTTTAAATTAATTCTATGAAAAATTAGAATTCACTTAAAAAAAATTTCATCGAATTCTGTCAGATAGTTATCGAGAAATTTCAGTTCAAAGTTTAGAAAATTTCTGCCGCGACTATTTTAATAATGTGAAAATTTTGCCGCACTTTAAACAAAAATTTCTCGACTTCTACTCAATAGAATTCGATAAAAATTTTTTTAAATGAATTTTATTTATTCATAGAATTAATTTAAAAAAATTCCATCGAATTCCATCAGAAACTTGCCAAGAAATTCGTCCAAAAATTAAAAAAAAGTTTATTTCGGCAACTTACGTACGTTTGATATCACGTGATATTCGGTACGTGCAAAATCACGTGACCTGTACGTGTCCGTAGACTTTCCGTTATCTGTTATACATAGCAACCGCATAAAATGTCCGCAGACACGTGATTTTAAACCAATCACGACACAGGATCAGGTGTAACGTGAAAACAAAACAAACTGCCGGTTTTTTTTAAAAAACCGTCCATAACTCAAAATTTCAACTACAAAACTACTTCCTGCGTCTTAGCAAAAAAAATTCCTTGCAAAATTTGCTATATGCACCACCTTTTCTACTACTATCTTAGTGCTCACCCTTATCCTAACGTCAAAAGTTAATTCTTTGATCGAACAACGCGTTGACGATCTGCGGTTTGTAGATGTTAGCATATATCATCACGAGACCGCAAATTTTATGCGGTTGCTATGTATAATTGCGAACATTGTAGTTAAAATTGAATCATTGCGCAAATATCAAAAGTTTTTGCAATTAGTAACAGTTTCTTTTTTTTATGCATTGATTTATCGTAATGTGAGTACCGCCTAATTGAAAGTATATATACTCGGCACAATAAATGATAATGAACCTTATTTAGTCATCACTCATATTAAATTTATGCAAACTGAACGAATTTTACTTTAAAAAAGAAACCTATTCATATACAATCGTCACACCTAATCCTCTTAGTATAACCACCAAAATTATCAATAAAACACAAATTAAAACTCATTATAATTATTGTGAGGGACCAACATGAGGTCAATTAGTATTTAAAGTTCGCCGATGATTAGTAATCTGTAAATACTAATTGGGACCAACCTCAGATTAGTCCCTCACGATTATTAGCTAAATGAATACAATTAAAAAACGACATATAGTATGAGAACCTTTGTATCCAAAAAATATGATTTGGAGATCAAGTTTATTGTGTTCGGAAACTTTGTTTTATTGATTAATAGTTTCGAGTAATCTTGTGATGTACAAGTCTCCCAAAAATTTATGCCAATCGATTTCCGCGCCGAAATTTACCCGAATCTTACAAAATCTCAAATGAATATTTTTTAATAGAATTTATTGTACTGTAAACATTTTTAAATTGATTACTTCAGAAGGCGCGACCAATAAATTTGACCAGTTTTGGTAATACCCTTAAATTGTATCAACTGTAGTTTTAGATAGTCTTAAGAACTTATAAGCTTATATCACAAAAATTGTCAAATTTCTATTAATCAACAATACTATTTTTAATTTATCGCTGGTAGAAAGTGTTTTAGTTTTTACATTGTCAACCAATTTTCTGACTAGCATAAAATTTGATTCAATAGTTTTTAAGTCATTTCTTTTGCTGTAAGAATATTGTAAACTTTTAACAAGATCAAGCGTTTATATTTAAATCTAAAAACCCACCAGTTTCATGTTCATTTTCTATCGTTGCATTTAGTGTCCCGAAGAGATTGACTTGAATGACCCAAAATCAGAATGGTTTATAATATAATAAATACATTACAAACAGGACGCTTTTGGGTCGACCAATTCGGAGCACTAATTGCATTCAATATTTATGAATTCTTGATAAATATATTTTCAAAAATTTCTGATTCTAGAGTAACTTTCTCTTCCCACTTCATTTACTGAAGTATTTATAATTGCCACTTTTAAGCAAATTAGCAAACGTATATGCTACCCACTTTGATGCTAGCAAGACCTCTAAATATTTCGTAACTCGAATTTTGGTCTTAATCTTGTTCGCGATTTACAACCATTTATTTTCTATTTAGGATGTTTTGGGACAGCTTTATTTTTTTCTTAATGCTGGTCAAATTTTAAAAAATCATGGCTAAAAATTATCAAAAATTCTAGTAGTTTCTCAAAAATTTTACGGAAGCTACTAGCCTGTTGTGTACTAATTTGTTACATAGCCTACACACGTACGTACCCATTTCTAAGCATAGGTAACCCATCTTTTAATCAATTAAAGGAATCACCTATATAGCGAAAGGCGCTACAATTTATATCCGGTATCTTATGTGAGAACCCACAGGTTGCTTATCACTATCCAAGTTACCAATCACTATTCAAAGGATCTTCTTATAGATAATGAGTATTTCATACGCAAGCTATGTAGTATACGTAGTAAATTTATCTGTTATCAGTTATGTGATTTTGTTCGTATGTATACCACAAGTTTAACGATATGAAAATTAATTTGAAAAAATATTGCACAAGATAATTGATAATTGGAAAGTTTGTCACCACACATGGATCCTTAATACGAGCCTAGCGGTCACATTATGCGCATCTACGTGCGTACCTTAATTTTAGTTTATACTATATAAAATGCTTTCAATTTTGTGAAATGATAGATCACCTTTCATTGTCGAGTAAAATACTGAATCCGTTCATATATTTTTATTAAAAAGATTTTTTAATATAAAATTTATCATGTCATTCGATAATAAAAATTTTATTTAAAAAAAATTTAAAACCGGGTCTCGGGCCACGGGTTTGGAATCCCGATGCACACAATCCCGATAATATATAATCCTTACAGACAAATTTCCGAAATCCTGACATTAACCATAATATTTTGCATTTTTGCATTTAAAATTTATAATGCTTAATTATCGGAATTTTGTACTTTCGAGATTTTGAACTGTCGGAATTTTGTATTTTTTGGATGTTAGCATTTTAAGATTTTAGTATTTCGGGATTTTGTCTGTTGGGATTATGTACCATCGGAATTGTGAACATCGGGATTTGCACGTCTCCCCGGGCCACTAAAAGTTAATCGATAATATAAGTTTGTGTGACCTTACTTATATACTACTTAAATTTTTATTTTACTTACTAACTATATTTAACTAATTTACATTTTTTATATCTTATATTTTTATAACTTTTAAATTAATACTGTTTAGATTTTTACTTTTTTTAAGTTTTTATATTTAGTATATTTATTATTCTATTTTTATTAGACTATTAAAAAAAAATAAAATTTTGATAATTATAAAAGTTATATATAGCTCTTTTCATTAATTATCTGATCCAATATTTTCAAAAAGCCAAATTACAAAAAATGATGTATTTAGCATATTTTATATTATAAAATTTTTTTAAAAAATCTTATAATAATATAGTATTAGTCTATAAATTAAAATAAAAATAAAATAAACCTATAATAGCTTTGTAATAATAGCAAATTTTAGAAACTATCAAAAAAATAATTAACAAGTATCATTAAAAAATTAAAAGTTTTTGTTAAACTTACAAAAATTTGATTAAATATATTATATTGTTATATACAATTATAAATTTTATCAAAAATATTAATTAAAAATAAAAAAATTCTATAAAATTTTAAACTTAGGCGGCACAAATAAAATTAACTGGTTTTCATATCCGGCCGGGTCTGAAAATAGAAAATTTCAAAATTTTTTTATGCTGCAGCAAGTAGATAGCCAATCAAATCGTGTCATTTATAACATGTAAAATTAAACTTTAAAAGATAGTTTAAGTAGTATATAATTTCACGTACGTACATACGAGTACTGGTAACTGCATGGTGTTCTTCTAAATAAACCGGGATTGAGAATTTCTATACCTGCTTAATAATAATAGTAACAAAAAAATAGGCAGATTAGGCTACTTTCGCATTGATAAAAGGTAAAAAAAAAATAAAAATTAAAAAAATGAATGAATCAGACTCAAAATGTATTGT